GCAGAAAACGGATGCGATTTTTTGCGCTAACCGCTCTGACTATTATTACAACATGCAAAGTTATGAAAGATCTCCAGACATTTCCTATATCAGAGTACTGCACAAAATTTGTTTCTATGATGTAAAATAGTCCTTAATAAACTGCAAAATTCCAGTGATATGAAGCAGCGTCACCCTTGTTTTAACCCACAAAGCCTTGATGATCACATTTTGAAAGGTCATTTTCAAGCAGCAAGCGTATAAACTATGTTGATTCACCCTACACCTCTGCGCTAATAATGATAATGACTCTAACGCCATACACTGGTAGCATTCGACACAGGAGCAAGTCGCTTTTCTTTTTTTCGTCAACCAATTCCTTTGTTCTCGCTTCAACTTCATCTTCTAAAGAATCGGCGTATTTCTCCATGATTTTGAACACATGATCCATAAGATTCGCATGTCTGCAAAGAATAGAATAGCGTCTTTAGTAAGAATTAAAGCTTCATGTGCTATGCTTTTTCCAATATGAACCAACTTCTTTCCGAAGGATGCCTTTACCAGACTTCGCACTTCCTCTATATTTGGTCTGTGAGAAGGATCTTCGTCCCAGCAATCACGCACCAAATGGATCTATAGGAAAATTTGTAAATGTTGATGACACAATGAACATTGCCTAATATTCCTCTTAGCTACGGATAGAGAAGTTAGAAATATTACCGTTGAGACTAGCCATTTTATTCTAATAAAATGATATTGGCAAACGAAAAATGTAGCAAATTTCTTATACCCATTTTCACCAAAGACCCTGTGTCAATTTTTTGAACATCTGTAGACAGGAAATCTTACAGGGCAGCATTTCGTTCACCTTGCTACACAAAAGAGAGTTAATGTGAGAACGTCATCAACGAATTCTTACTAGATCCGATTTCAGTTCTAAAGATGGATCCGGTTTGAGGTCTGGTCTCAGAATTCTTCGTCCTCCTTTTTTCACCATATAGAGGATATCTGAAATTATATTGCAGTACAGCCTTGTTGTTCTTTTTTTTCTTTTTTTTTTCCTTTTCTGCTTCTTTTCCCAACAAAAATGGCCAAATATGCTAATCTTTTATTCATTTAAAAGTCCGAGTTGTCTTCCGCTAGCCCAATCTTCCAATAACGTTTTACTCTCCCATAGAAGCAGGGCGCATCAACTACCACGTAATCGCCTTGCAGGAAACAAAGTTCAGGAAGACAGACGTGAGGCAGCTGAGTGATGGCACACCCATCATTTGTAATGAAAAGGTTGTATCACGGATCGTTGGAGGCGTTGGATTTGTCGTACACCCATCTATTGTTCATCTTGTCGATATGAGATCCTATCACCTCGACCATCCTTCGACTCCGTCCTCTGCATCAAAAAATCTTCAC